AAGAGACCTGATCTATACTGATGGACTATCACCTCTTAAAGTACAAAGTGGTATTATGAGACAATATGGGCTGGGCTAGCTGGTTAGCATGCTAACTTCAGTAGATTTCTCTGCACCACAATACATTGTATTATACTTTAAATAACACATTTTATTGCATGTAAACTCAGTGTACTATATCAAAACACTAAAGTAATAAGAAATATTTACAGAAATATTTACAGAAATATTTACATATATTACAGATATGATAAATAAAATATGCAAAGAGCAAAAAAAGAAAACTGAAAAACATAAATCACACAGCCTCAAAAAGAAATTGCAAAAACATAAACACAGATACAGATACAGGTAGGACTGGAAAACCACCACCGGTTGACCTCACACCCATTTCTACCCAGAAAAGATAAAAACAAAATTTTAAATGCTAAGATTTGACATATCTCATAATTGTGTCTTACCATAAGTATTTCATATTTTTTATTATGCCTTTTTATGTATCTTGGCTTTTAAAAGAGGTCTAATTAGACTGCAGTCTGTGAGCAGATCAGAAATGTAATGGGGAGCCAAACCATTAAAGGCTTTCAGGATTATTAGTAGAATTCTGAAGTTTATTTTGTGTTGCACTGGGAGGTGCAATATGTCTGGCTTTGTGTGGATGGGTAAGGATTCACATCACAGTTCCTGCATTTTATTGTTTTATATGTCTTTACATATCATTTTACTTTATGATTTTACATGATTTGGGACTGCAACAAGTGGATTCCGTGGAAGTGGTAGTGTCTTTTGCATATCTGCTTAGGTACATACCTGTTCACTGTAAGTCACTCCGGGGCTTCCAGCTTTAGTATGAACTGTTATTCATGTACTTGTTGAATTATAAAATTATAAAATTAAGTAAGTTAAATTATAAAAATAAATTATAAATTAATAATAGTAACATATATATATTTCATCAATCAATTTTATAATTGAAAGGAGTGAAAATCAGACTTAAATTCATCAGCTGGACAGAAACATATACTGAAATTCAAAGAACATATGTGAGTACGTTGTTACAACTAAATCAGACTCTTGTAGCCATGAACTAGCTCACCTTACAGCTGAAACAACACTAACAACTTGCATGAATGATATCTACATAGACACACAATAAGCGTGATTTAAGTTTGATGAGTTAAACTACAAAGCAGGTAATGCTATAACAAAAATAAATGTAGTAAAAAAAAAACTTTCTAATTGGCTGTGCCTGCCACAGGGTGCTTACTTTTTCACATGTGGAAGAAAGTCTAATCAGTGAATCAGGTAATTTATAACTTGCTCCTGATTGGGGAAATTCCATTCCTGGTCTCCCCTATATATACACACAATAGATCAAAAGATGTGTGTAATTTTAAAGGGGTCAAAAAGCGCTCGAAAGTCCACAGCTACTATCACCTACTCTATAGGTCCCCAAAGCTTTAAAATGCATGGGTCTTTAGGCCTATTGTTTTTTGTTGTTTTGATTTTGTGTTTTTAAGTGTTTTGATCCATTGTTTTCATCAGCTTCATTTCCGGGTGCAGCAGACAGCTGTTTAATGCAAAATAGCTCTCATAAACACACTGTAATGCCTTCCCAGCACAAAACTGCAAAGAGTTAGCAAATAACTGGTGAACATAGTGGAGCACTTATGAGCTAAGGAGCCAGATATCTACCTTGGGAGATGGGGGAGACCAAAACAGAGCTAAAAGTTGAGTGAAAATTAGACTTAAATTCATCAGCTGAACAGAAATACAACTTCAATTGAATGATACTGTTGCTCTGTATTGGGTTGTGTAGAAAGGCAACTGTTTGCTAACAACTTCTCCATATCAACTTATAAGGTGACATTATATCAATTTTAGGTTTTTATAGTGGCTTAAGAGAACAATTAATGTTGCTTTATGAATGAGGGTAGCAGATTATATAAGATTATATGAGCCTTTGTGTAGTGTGAGATACTGTATTATCAACATTTTACAAGTGTATCAACAACATTAAGATGGTGTGAATGTGGAGAAGAGTAACCCGATCTGCTGTGTCCATCCCTGCCCTGCAGGCGATCCGTCAGGGTAGACAAAGCCTCAGATAATATTAGATCATTTTGTTTACCGGCTGAAAAGGAGAATTTCTGTGTAACCCTACACTGAAACAATGATACGCGGTGATCATATCCACATCTTTAAACACAGATGGAAAGGAAGAGCATAACAGAAATGTGGGAAGATGTGGGAAGATTATTGTCGTTCTCATTCACAAAGCTTGAAATGAAATGTTAATATTTGAAACAGCCATGAATGAATAATATAGAAGTAACTGACCTAACCAGAAGGAGACACGGATGTCAAATTTACATCACCTTATGTTTCCAGGAGGATGTGTGGCCTTTTCTTTGAAGGGCAGTGGAGATGGACACTAGTCATCTGGCTTTTGCTGCTGGCAGCCACACAACCCAAAGGTATTTACTGATTCACATAGAAAAAAAAGAAGATACAGAGTTGGAATATTGATTTTAATTAAGGGAAATGGGATTTCCTTTTGCACATAAAGCAAATGAAGGTGAGAATAACCGTGCAACCGGAGTTGTGTCTAAAACATGAAATGCAAATTAAGAGTATAGAGTACTTGTACTTTCTCGCTTTTTGTACAGTCATGTAACATATTCAGAAGGTAATTTTTCCCCTACTCAGCAATATCATGTCCAAAGTGTGTTGTGTTGTTTATCATGTCTGTGAAGATTCTCAGTCATCCAGGTCATAGTTATCCAAAGAAGGTTAAAGTCAAGGGCAACTGGACTTGGTTGAAGATACTAGAAGACGTTCCCTCAACCAAAGGACTTCTTCAATTCTTCCGATTGTTGGTTTGTGTGTGTGGGTTTTCTGTAAAGTGTTTACAGAAAACCCACACACACAGACCAATACCTACTCTTCAATTCCCACCACCCACTGGAGCATAAGCTAGGGGTCATGAGAACACTGCACCACAGAGCGGAAAACATACCAACAAGCGCCCAAGCCAGAGAGAAGGAACAGAACCACCTGAAGGGGGCACTTACAGCCTGTGGATAACCTAAATGGTCCTTTGTGAAAACAGCCACAAGATCCAAGAAGAACAAAACTACAGGGGAGGAGGAAAAGAAGATGAAACGCAACAACATTGTGATTCCGTACGTGTCTGGAGTATCAGAGGAACTCAGGAGGATTTTCAACAAACACAACATCCCTGTGTTTTTTAAACCCAAGAACACTCTAAGACAGATACCGGTACACCCCAGAGACCGCCCCCCATACACAAGAAAAGCAATCTAGTGTATGCAGTCCAGTGCAGTGAGGAATGCACAGACCTGTATATTGGGGAGCCTAAACAACCACTACACAAACGCATGGCTCAACACAGAAAGGCCAACTCCTCAGGTCAAGACTGCAGTCTACGATGGTCTTTCAGTCTTGGCCTCAGGTGGTCCTAACGACCATAAAGACTGTCCTTAAAACAGCCAGGAGCACTAACGAACCAGCGGTATCGACGATCCTGGCAAACGACCCCACTGAGGTTAAATAGCTTAGTTTCCCTACCAGTCAGTCAGAACTGAAGAAACATCTTCTAGTATCTTCAACCAAGTCCAGTTGCCCTTGACTTTAACATTCTTTGGATATCAGTTATCATGTTTAGATAAAAGTAATATAAAAGGTGGTCTACAGCTGTATGCTAGCAGCTCTGTTAGGCTGTGCTGAGGCATAGCTGCTTTGAGCTAAATGCTAATGTCATCATGCTAACAAACTCGCAGTGGCAATGCTAACAGGTTCCAAGGTTTTGGCTAGAAATGGAGGTCACAATAATGGCAACAGAACTAAAGAACAGCAACTGAAGTCTTTTCTTTACACTTTCTGATTTAACTGATCACGTTAAATGAGAGTAGCAGAAAGAGTTGCAAAAAGAGTAATCGAAGTATTAACACAAACATACAGTACTACTAACAAAGAGTCAACCAACCATTTTCTTAAGGGATTACATTTTATGTTTTAAAGGTACAATGTGTAAGATATGGCCAGAATTTTACTTTAAAACAAAATGAACATTATCAACAGACATGGCCCATTCTGTGTTATAATACTACTTGATGGCTCTGCAATCCCTTCACACAACGCAATCCCAGTTCTGGCTATTCTCATCTGTGACACCACGATGGTGGAACAAGCTACCACACGCCATCAGAGCAGGGGGCGTCCCTCTCCAACTTCAAGAAGCTCTTGAAAACTCGTCTCTTCCGAGAACACTTCCTCTTATAACACCTCTAACTCCTAACCTCTAACATGCACTTCCTGTGCTCTTCTTCTTCTTCTATCCCCTACAATGATCTTGTATTGATTGCACTTTTTGTTTTGATTGCATTTTTTGTTAACTCTTATTTCCTTCCCTAGGTATCTACCCCATTGATTTGATATGTACTGTGAGCTCTTACTAGTATTTATTGCTGCTCTTATGTTTTGTCAGTTGTAGATCTGTAGTTGATGCTCTGTTGATGATTGTATGTTGTTCCTCAAATGTAAGTCGCTTTGGATAAAAGCATCTGCCAAATGAGTAAATGTAAATGTAGTAAAACCCCCACCCCCTTCCGGGAGTTGTGTGCGAGTGGCAAGTTTGCAAAATAAATACAGCGAGAGCATGAATATTGGACTTAAATAAAACCGGTGAACAGAACCATGACTTCAAATTAAATATAATATGTATGCCTATGCGATGAATGTGTAAATAGGAAACGGTTTGTCAAGTTGGACAAAAAAGCTTAAGATGATAATATGTCAGAGCGCAAGCCTTTATATTAAGTTCTTCCTCTTTAACCCTTTGCGTGTTTCTAAAGTGTAACTTTAAAAGTTCCTTGGCTCTTAACCATTGTGACAATTTCTGCCTCCAGTGCAGCTCTGCTGTGAAAACGTAAACCTTTAATCTGTCTTTCTTTCACCTGTTCCAGTGCTTGGCTATTTCATGGGTGACATTAAGGCAGTATTAAATGGCTGTGAGGACTACTGGACCTTGCAGGACAGAGCCGCTATGCCGCTACTCTTTAAGATGACGGTGTGTGTCGACATCCGTGTGGTCGTCCCCGGAGCCTGGGTGGCCTTCTCCTACAGTTCAATCTACACACCCAGACCCGAGCTGGGTCTGGAGGGAGATGATGAGGCGTTGTATGGGTGGCTGCTAAGGGTCCGACACCGATTTCCAATCCGGCTTTCCTCAACACAATGGCATAGAGTGTGTCTGAGGAGGGACGTACTGCGCAACTCCTTTAGCCTGGAGGTAAAACTTGCAGTGTACTAGTATTGGTGGGGAAAGTATTCAGATCGTTTGTCATCTGTATCATATTTTAAATCATCATCATGTGTTTTTTATGTAAAATCTTAATCTGCATAGTGACTAGTTACTATGGCTGTCAAATAAATGTAGTAGAGCCAAAAGTTCAATATTTGCCTCTGAATTGTAGTAGAACTTTAAAGTACCTCAAATCTGTAGTTAAATTTAGCACTTGAGTAAATGTGCTTAGTTACCTTCCACCACTGAGTATGTCACAAGTTCTAGACAAAGCCTGTCCAAAAATAGTGTTTGCAAAAATACATCGTTTACACAAATCCAAGTTCATAACCACACATTGTTTGACAGTGTATTGTGTTGTCTTTCAATCCAAATCCTGCCCATAAACAAAAAAGGCACAGTGAAGTATGTGCAGATTTTTTATGTGCAGAACTATGTAGACTTACACAGCAGAGTACCTCTAAAACTTTTACTTTATTATTCTAAGCAAGTCAGAAAATGCTAATGCTAATTTTGATAATTTGGGCTTTTTCCAGTAGTTTGCAAACTTTTTACTTTTACAATTTACTTTACAACTTTTACAACATCTTCATTTTATTACAACTTTGGTCTTATTTCTGTAGTTTTAACCATCATTTCTATCAGTTATGATAACACTGTTATCACCAAAAGTATAGTTAATATCTGGGAACATGGTGATATTTCTACAAGGCCTTAGAGGGCATGAAACATGTTGTAAAATGGCTGGCAAAGCAGGTCACAGCTGAATCTGGAAGTTGGTCTATAAACTGTGAAAACCTTTAAAACCTGTTTGATTGTCTGAGTACAACCTGTTTCTCTCTCTCTCAAATTAATTTACAGCAACGCAAGCAATCTAGAGCAAATTTGGAGGCAGTGTGGACCAGTAATTGCAGGAGTCAAACTTGTACTTATTCAGCACTTTCTCTGTTTGTTTAAAATTGTGTTAACAATGTTTCAGGTTGATGGGAAAATGGTGGCAGAGAGGACGGTCATCGCTCAGGCCATTCCCCCCTCCGGCTCCCTCTGGCTGGGCTGCCGTCCAAGGGACCAACCCCCGGGAGCCATGCAAGGAGAAATTGAGCTGTACCTGTTCCGCATGTGGCCGGACCTTGGTGACCATGGCCTCTGCGAGGACGGCACTGTGATTGGCTGGAACTCCCAGTACTGGGGTGTGACCAGTGCCAAGGCCACACAGAGAGACCCCAGACTTCTGTGTGGTGAGACAGACACGCATAAACTCATCTTTACCTAACAGATCCAAAATGTTTTAACTTCGTTCAAGCTTGGATCTTGTGCATGAGTGGCTTTTCCATATAATTATTGATTGCATTTATAACAGAATGCAAACAGAATTGCTGATTCCTGAATGTAAAAGACTTTGAATCCAGCTAACACACTGCACGGCTTGTTGGTCAAATAGAAGCTTGAGCATCTTATCCTTCATTACTACAGTGGCCTCATCAGCCTGTTCTAGCACAAATGTAATTGTGTTTTTCTTATAATGCTAATTTCTTATGGCTCCCGAGAGCTGCAGAGAAAACTACACATAGTTCTGCATGTTCCTAGAGCATGTTGAATGCTGAATGTTTTTATGCCACTTCTAGACCGCAGACGCTTGAGACGTGGGCCACGGGCTTTCCAAAGCGTTAACAGTGGTGTGTATTCAGGTGACTTACACACTTACATGCATGTTGTGCATGTCTGGGCATGCAGGCATTTACATAAGAACCTAAATTTAAAAAACACACACTTTTTAAATGATTATCCGGTATTTTATTTGACCTTTATTTAACCAATATGGCTTCTGGAGATCTAAATATGCTTTTCCAGAAAGTCATCATTGAAAATTATCAGTACAGTTATATAAAGCTACTAGTATATAGACTTTTTGAGTAGGGGAAAATTACCTTCTGAATATGTTACATGACTGTTCAAAAAAACGAGAAAGTACAAGTACTCTATACTCTTAATTTGCATTTCATGTTTTAGACACAACTCCGGTTGCACGGTTATTCTCACCTTCATTTGGTAAGCATCACTTTCAGACAAGAATATCCAATGAAATAATATGTCTAATTATCTCAACTATAGTGCTTCCTCCTGATTATTACTTGACATCCTTCTTCCTACTTTCTTTTTACTAGAAGTGCCTTCAACTACAACTACCTCAAGTCCTCTCATAGCAACACCTGTCACTCAAAGGAGCAACCAGACGTCTAAGGTCACCGGTGCGTGATGCTGACAGTATAGCTGTGTCCCAAATCCATACTATTTACTTATTCTATAGAGTATGTGATACATATTAATCAGCATAGTATAATGTTTTAGAAGTAAGTAAGTTTACAAAAATATCAACATACCTGGCATAGCATTTTATACTAACAGGAAATTATGTATTATTTACTTCATAAAGAGACATCGAAATGTTTTACTAAGATTTAACACCTATTTTTTGTTGTCCAAGATATTTTTGGAGCTGTTTCACCACCACCCACAATTTATTTTATTTTATTCGATTTCCTTTTACAGCACACGCCAAAATCGACCATATTTACAAATGTGTTTTGTGCTGCTCATTTGTTTATCTTTTCATGGCTATGGCTATCAGCATCTCTTTTGCAAACTGCTGTTGCTGCTCTATGGAACACTTACTGTGAATAAGAGCATTTATCTGTAGAAACACTATCAGACACTGGATAATGAGTAATTAAAACAACAAATTTCATGAAATGGTATACAAGCCATCAAACTCTTTAACTCATTCCTCAAAGTGTCAGACACTTGGACATTTCATCATTAACTGCATCTTGTAATAACTGACGTATGGTGCAATTTTCTCTGTTTCATTATTTGGGTTACTCAGTTATGAATTTTTAATTCATTCCACCTCATCACTACCAGCACTATTATTACACTATTTATTTATTCCTGCTATTTAAAAAGAATATTTTTACACCGTTAATATTGTATAATACTATAAATATTCACATTTTTGTTTATTATTATATTCTTAGATTTTTATTCTTTATTATATTCTCTACTTACCAGCTTCTACTATTGTTTCTGTTCCTTTTATATCTTGTGAGTATCTGTAAAAAATATTTTCCCTCAGGGATCAATAAAGGATTCTGGTGATAATTGAATCATGCTATGTCAGTAAATGATGAAAACTTTTTCTTTTTGAAGTTTATCAGAAACATTTCTGCAATAAAGATGAGCGCTCAGATTAACAAACACACTGTAAACAAACCAACAGTTTAGATATATTATTTAAAACACTTTATTTGAGTTAGATAATAAATCAAATTAAGTGATGTTTTACTATATTTGTATATATTCTAGTATGGTATAAATAATAATGCGAGGGCACCAAAAACTAACCCTGGACGATCACTCACATTATGTTAGTCTAACACATTTACTGGGTATTTGTATGGGAGTATAAATAGACACTGTATTGCGTTGTATTACTGATGGAAATAAGAAACAATACCTAAACCTATTGTTGCTAATGTGTTTTTTTTAAATATAATGTTTTCTCTGTTCTTTTAGGGTCCCCATTATTAAATTGTAACATCAGCCAACTCTGTTCCAGTAAAAGTAAGAAATATCCACCCTTTGTCCAATCAGACTGTTTTGTTCAGGCATATTTGTGGGCTTAGAACTCCCTTTTTTTCTACAGGTGCTTACTTTTGGATGTCCATAAGTGTGAATGCCAAAAATGGCAATAAGACCGAAAAAGATGTCCACAACTTGGTGAGAGTGACATTTTCTCCTCATCCACTTGGATTTCTCTTGTGTACCTTTAAATCTCCAGCCCTTCATCGTGCCATGCACTTAAGAGCTTTAAATGTCAACTCGTCAAAAAAAAGTCTTGCCAGCACAGGAATAGTTTGAAGGAGCAGTACATTCCGACCCTGCGATGCACCTGAAATAAATTTGATGTGAGCTGTCAACTATTCACTGCTGTACTACAAAGGGTTAGTGCGAGTTTTACTGCATGGGGTACTTATAAGCAATGTACTCCTGTGAACTGACTATGGTTAAGTATGTCATACAGCCCCACGTCAAAAAACCCGAACTAGTTCAATACAAATCTAGGCCTACATAACCACAGGTTTTACTTTCTTTCAGTAAGCTTTCAACCAGGAGCTACTGTGTACCATACCTGAATTGACAATGTAATACAAAAAGCTACAGTAGATGATTCAGAATACTTTGGATTTGGTGTTCGGCTTGTTCATTAAGGGAACATCTCTAGGTGTATCTGGAAAGATTTACAAACTCAAGTCTCTACCAACTAGTCAATATTATGGCTGTATTCACAGCCACTACATGTAAGATTTAACATTTCTAACTGGTGTCCTCAAAGGGGTACTGTGAAGGGAGAATGAATAGTAGAAATCAAAACATAGACAGCCCTGATTTCCCCTGGGTTGTTGCTTTTAAACAAACAAAAATTTAAACCATCAGAATTATCACATTTACTCAAAATCACATTTGAGTAAATTTGGTTTGTCTAATACATTCTCATCCCCTAACATATGTGAACTGTGTATAAAAAGGGCAATGCTTTCTACAAAGTTAATCGAATGTGGGTGTAAACTTCTACAAATGAAGGCTTTAACCTCAGTAATTGTTTCATTTCAAATCCAAATTGATGGAGCACAGAGCAAACACAATAAAACATTTGTCACTGTCCTAATTCTTAAACTGTATGTGTTTAGCTCCCATCACCTCCCACACAGTTCTAGCATCTGTCTCTCCATCTGTCACTCAGGTGTCAAAAGCGTTTGGTTGCAAAGGAGATGCAGCAAAAAAGGGAACAGGCCTTATAGATTTCTGTCAGAGTGACAGACAACTTCAGGTCAGTCTGTCCCAGAAACAGGAAACATCCTTTCACTTTAAAAACTCTCCTATAAGGCATGCAAATGACTGCAATTTTTTCACTCTCTTTGCAGAGTTTACAGGTGAACTGTAGTGCTAAAAGGAACATAAGGTAACAGCCTGTCATTTTGTGTAACTGCTAAATATACTTTAAATTGCACCTCCTCACAGTGGTGTGAATACTTTAATTACAGCGAAACGACCTGTGATGTGTTGTTGCAACTCAGCTACGCTGTCTCGGCGTGTGAACTGCAGCATGCTGGAGTCTCTGCACTGCAGCAAGCTGGAGACCAGCAAATACAAGCAACAATCATAGGAGAGGTGGAGAGAGTCGGTGAGCATTTTTCAATCAGTCAGTTTCTTCACATACATAAAAACACACAGTACTGTTCACCTAAATGATAAGACTACATTAACAAACATTGGTAAGGAAACCTTAAACTGCTACAGAAAAATATTAAAAACTCAGTTTAGTGTTAGTTTGTGTATTAAAAGACCAATGTCAATTTGAGATGACAACATGATTTAATTTAATTCACCTTTGGACCATGGATTGTGCCTTTTAGTCACGCACAGTTATACAAGTGGAAGCACACACACATACAGTGTTTTGCAAGTATGCAAAATGCACCCATGTTTGGAATAAGTCATGTAAACAAAAACAGAGGAACCACTGTATTCATGCAAAACACCAACTGGAAGAAAACAACTCACAAATTCTGAATAAACACAGAATCAGTTATTAAGTTAAAAAATGTCCTCACTGTCAAGGTCTAGAAATCATCTGCTCACAAAGATAAAAATACTGACACAAAAACACACCATCTTACTTGTGAAGACATATTATTACCTTGCCCCATAACTCATAACTACATGCCTAAAATTAAAAAAGCACACACACAGCATTATTAGATTACTCATGTTGATTTTGTTCACATCAGGTCGAGATCTTTGTGGGGATGTGAAGCCCTCCAGTGGCGGGTTAGTGTACAGGTGTACATCCACATCTTCTCTGGATGATATCTGTCGGACAAACATATACTCCAACCTTACATGGTGAGCAATACCTTTTGTTTTTCTGAATATATGTCTTTATATGTGTACACTCTGTATTATCTATGTTTATTCACTAGCTCCCTCATAGAGCCTAACTCCAACCCAGCTCCACAACAACTTAAGACAAATTCCTGCAGCAGTGAGTATCAAAAACACCAATTATATTCACCAGAATTCACTGTTGCTTCCGCTGCTGTAACCATGTTTGTCTCTGCCTCAGGGGAAGTGCCTCGCTTTTGTGACTGCACTGCTTTCTGTAATTCTGCAAGTAAGAAAGCAGACAAAATATTGTCCTCCTGCCTATCTGCATATGTCTGCACTGCAATGTCAAGCAAAAAATGTTTGTGTATATATAGTATGTGTTAATATCCCTCCACACACAGCTGCTAAATGTAATTGTGTACTTAAGACTGTGTGGGATGTTAATGAAATTAGTAATATTTTAGGGACCTTTCTACCGTTCACACTACAGAACACAATGTTACCATTTAATAGTTTTTTAATTTACTTTTTGGCTTTTATACCAAGAGATTAGTGAGAAGATTGACACCAAACTCATCTGTATGACAAATATAAAGCTCCAGCCAGCAGGCTATCATGTTAGCTTAGCTCCACTAGAGGGAATCTGCTTGGCTAGACTCCTTCCAAGGTAAAAAGAAATCCACCTACCAGCATCTCTGAGGCTCACAAACTAACATTTTGTATCTCTGTTGGCTTATGTGTTGTATGTATCCTTTGCAATGTTGCTTATATATGTTGCCTTGTCATTACTTTTCTACAAATAAATAGAGAAAAAAAAAATCTCTGTTCGTACATTGACTTCCTGGTGCTTGCCAAAAAACTTGGCACATAATCCTGTTAATGACCACAAATAGTTTTAAACAAATTAGATATAATGTATAATGTGTTAAATGATGAGTTTTAGAGGTGCTGATAGGTGGATTTGTTTGACCTTTGTACCTTTGGCTATTTATTTCACACTGCTTCTACTCTTTATGCTAGCGCTAATATTAAGCTATGGTGTCCTGGCTGTAGCTTTATATTTAATTTACAGGCATGAGAGTGGTATTGATCTTATTATCTAAATCTCTGCAGAACGCATCTAAGTGTATTTCCCAAAATACTGAACTATTCCTTTAACTGAAACAAAGTCTCAGAAGTAGGTGTGTCCTAAACTGCCCCTGACAACAACAACTTTTTGTTTTTCAGGCCAGTTTTTTGCCACAAGAATTAATATTACCAGTGCTTTTGTTACCATTGATCTCCTAAAAAGAATGGTATGTATACTACAGTATGAATGAACTATATTTACTATTGTATATATGACATGTGCTGACTTTCTAACCTTATTTGGCAGTTGCTGACACTTGGAGCAGCCAGCAAATGTAAAACAATGTCATCGTAAGTCTGTATCCTCAATGTCATAGGCTGCAAAATAAAATGATATGTTGAAAGTTATTGAACAGGTTAACCTAATACTGAATAAGAAAGGGTTTTGGTGGTGAAAATTCATACATATGGACAATTCTTTGTTTCCAGTTCAATGTGCCAAGATTCTGAGATTTCAAAGAGCTACCAGGTAAATCTTACTGCAGACGACGGTTTGGCATTAACCCAAACCTTATAAAATCACACAGATGTACTTTCATTGATCTAGAGCCATCAATCATGCTTCATAAATTTGTTTCTTTATCCAGGGCGCTCATCTGGAATGCCATGGGAATAAACAGAGGTAGGCGTGTTTCTTCCTCTTGTCTGTTATGTGGACACAGACTAATCAATGTTCATTGGGAAAGAGGAAGTACAAGGTTGAATTTTGGCACAGTGTTAAAGAAAATCATAATATTTCAATATAGGATAACTCCAGGAATGCACTATTGATGATAATGTATTTGATCATAAATATGGTAAATACCAGTATGTAAAGGTGGCTTTTTTAACCCATTTGCTGCTGGTCTCTAGGTTGTACAGCTGCATGGTGATACTGGTGATGTCTGGCCCTGTCAATAGCTGCTCCCTGAATAAACTTATGCAACAACTCATTGATAGCAACATTGGCATAACAAATGAAAAGCCACTTACACGCATGGGTTAGTCTCCATATTTATAATTTTTCCCTAATATGAAACCTCTATAATATATAAATAGATATTGTGTATATATTATTGATGGTGCTCTGTTTGTTCGCAGTGGCCTGTGGTGGTCCTGGTTTGCCTGTCAGTGCTCTGTTGGCGTCCAACCTGACCTGGGTTGCCAGTGACCTGCTGACCTCTGATGTCTGTCAGTCTGACCCCACTCTGCTTAAATGGTAAATGTATAAAACATTTCTCTGGTGGTGGCATTTGAAAACCAATATAGTTATGTTTTTCTTTGGTTTACAGTCATGCGATCTCTTTAGATGAGATGCTCTTTCTGTTTGTTAGAGAACAAGCAGCACTTCTTTTGGTGGAAAAAGGGAACTAGAGAAACAAAGGATGTTTGATGATGTTTATAGTCATTCTGGCAAATTCAGTTTATAGATGAGTCAGGCTGAGGGAAAATGTCAATTATAAAGCAAAGTGTGTCTACAAAATTAAAAAAGCTTGGAAACAGGGGAAAGTATAATTTTTACACTTCAGTTTTTGTACTGATTAAACAAACGAGATATGAGTTTACAAGGTGTTAGTAAGCCGATTTTGTTAGGCTTGGATGCAGGCAGCATAGCTGTTTCCCCCCGTAACCAGTCTTTGTGCTAAGCTAAGCTAATTGGTCGTTAGCAGTAGCTTTATACTTGCAGTGCAGATTTGAGAGTGGTATCAATCTTCTCATCTGACCAAAATGGTTAATATGCCTTTAAAATGTATTGCTTCAGGTTATTTTATATGTGAAGTAATAATTGTAATAATCCTAATCTTAATACTGCTACCATTGCCCTTACCCAAGACATTGGCCTCCTGCAATGAAGTTAATAAAGTATTTCACCTAATTTAAGTTTTATATTTTGGTGTTCTTTTTTAGTGAGGCAAATGAGACGCTTGCTGTACTTCTGTCTGACAGCTGCCCTCCCACAACCAAGCAAAGCACAACACAGGCTCCCACTCTGACCAGCAGAAATGATACAACTGAGTACAATATAACCAGAGTTACACCTTCTCCAGATCACACAAAAGAGCACAATGTAACCAGAGATGCACCTTCTCCCGTTCACATAACAGAGCACAATGTAACCAGAGTTACACCTTCAGATCACACAACAGAGCACAATGTAACCAGAGATGCACCTTCTCCCGTTCACATAACAGAGCACAATGTAACCAGAGTTAAACCTTCAGATCACACAACAGAGCACAATGTAACCAGAGATGCACCTTCTCCCGTTCACACAACAGAGCACAATGTAACCAGAGTTACACCTTCTCCCGTTCACATAACAGAGCACAATGTAACCAGAGATGCACCTCCAGATCACATAACAAAGCATAATGTAACCAGAGTTACACCTCCAGATCACACAACAGAGCACAATGTAACCAAAGTTACACCTCCAGATCACACAACAAAGCACAATGTAACCAGAGTTACACCTCCAGATCACACAACAGAGCACAATGTAACCAGAGATGCACCTTCTCCCGTTCACACAACAGAGCACAATGTAACCAGAGTTACACCTCCAGATCACACAACAGAGCACAATGTAACCAGAGTTACACCTTCAGATAACACAACAGAGTACAATGTAACCAGAGATACACCTCCAGATAACACAACAGAGTACAATGTAACCAGAGTTACACCTCCAGATAACACAACAGAGTACAATGTAACCAGAATTACACCTCCAGATAACACAACAGAGTACAATGTAACCAGAGTTACACCTCCAGATAACACAACAAAGTACAATGTAACCAGAGTTACACCTCCAGATAACACAACAGAGCACAATGTAACCAGAGATGCACCTTCTCCCGTTCACACAACAGAGCACAATGTAACCAGAGATGCACCTCCAGATCACACAACAGAGTACAATGTAACCAGAGTTACACCTCCAGATAACACAACAGAGTACAATGTAACCAGGGTTACACCTCCAGATAACACAACAGAGCACAATGTAACCAGAGATGCACCTCCAGATAACACAACAGAGTACAATGTAACCAGGGTTACACCTCCAGATAACACAACAGAGTACAATGTAACCAGAGTTACACCTCCAGATAACACAACAGAGTACAATGTAACCAGGGTTACACCTCCAGATCGCACATCAGAGTACAATGTAACCAGAGTTACACCTCCAGATAACACAACAGAGCACAATGTAACCAGAGATGCACCTTCTCCCATTCACACAACAGAGCACAATGTAACCAGAGTTACACCTCCAGATAACACAACAGAGCACAATGTAACCAGAGTTACACCTTCTCCCGTTCACACAACAGAGCACAATGTAACCAGAGATGCACCTTCTCCCGTTCACACAACAGAGCACAATGTAACCAGAGTTACACCTCCAGATAACACAACAGAGCACAATGTAACCAGAGATGCACCTTCTCCCGTTCACACAACAGAGCACAATGTAACCAGAGTTACACCTCCAGATAACACAACAGAGCACAATGTAACCAGAGTTACACCTTCTCCCGTTCACACAACAGAGCACAATGTAACCAGAGTTACACCTTCTCCCGTTCACACAACAGAGCACAATGTAACCAGAGATGCACCTCCAGATCACACAACAGAGTACAATGTAACCAGAGTTACACCTCCAGATAACACAACAGAGTACAATGTAACCAGGGTTACACCTCCAGATAACACAACAGAGCACAATGTAACCAGAGATGCACCTCCAGATAACACAACAGAGTACAATGTAACCAGGGTTACACCTCCAGATAACACAACAGAGTACAATGTAACCAGAGTTACACCTCCAGATAACACAACAGAGTACAATGTAACCAGGGTTACACCTCCAGATCGCACATCAGAGTACAATGTAACCAGAGTTACACCTCCAGATAACACAACAGAGCACAATGTAACCAGAGATGCACCTTCTCCCATTCACACAACAGAGCACAATGTAACCAGAGTTACACCTCCAGATAACACAACAGAGCACAATGTAACCAGAGTTACACCTTCTCCCGTTCACACAACAGAGCACAATGTAACCAGAGATGCACCTTCTCCCGTTCACACAACAGAGCACAATGTAACCAGAGTTACACCTCCAGATAACACAACAGAGCACAATGTAACCAGAGATGCACCTTCTCCCATTCACACAACAGAGCACAATGTAACCAGAGTTACACCTCCAGATAACACAACAGAGCACAATGTAACCAGAGTTACACCTTCTCCCGTTCACACAACAGAGCACAATGTAACCAGAGATGCACCTTCTCCCGTTCACACAACAGAGCACAATGTAACCAGAGTTACACCTCCAGATAACACAACAGAGCACAATGTAACCAGAGATGCACCTTCTCCCGTTCACACAACAGAGCACAATGTAACCAGAGTTACACCTCCAGATAACACAACAGAGCACAATGTAACCAGAGTTACACCTTCTCCCGTTCACACAACAGAGCACAATGTAACCAGAGTTACACCTTCTCCCGTTCACACAACAGAACAAAATGTAACCAGAGTTACACCTTCTCCCGTTCACACAACAGAGCACAATGTAACCAGAGTTACACCTTCTCCCGTTCACACAACAGAACAAAATGTAACCAGAGATGCACCTTCTCCTGTTCACACAACAGAACACAATGTAACCAGAGATGCACCTTCTCCTGTTCACACAACAGAACACAATGTAACCAGAGATGCACCTCCAGATCACACAACAGAGCACAATGTAACCAGAGTTACACCTTCTCCCGTTCACACAACAGAACACAATGTAACCAGAGTTACACCTTCTCCCGTTCACACAACAGAGCACAATGTAACCAGAGATGCACCTCCAGATCACACAACAGAGCACAATGTAACCAGAGATGCACCTCCAGATCACACAACAGAGCACAATGTAACCAGAGTTAAACCTCCAGATCACACAACAGCGCACAATGTAACCAGAGTTACACCTTCTCCCGTTCACACAACAGAGCACAATGTAACCAGAGATGCACCTTCTCCCGTTCACACAACAGAACACAATGTAACCAGAGATGCACCTTCTCCTGTTCAGACAACAGCGCACAATGTAACCAGAGTTACACCTTCTCCCGTTCACACAACAGAGCACAATGTAACCAGAGATGCACCTTCTCCCGTTCACACAACAGAACAAAATGTAACCAGAGTTACACCTTCTCCCGTTCACACAACAGAGCACAATTTAACCAGAGTTACACCTTCTCCCGTTCACACAACAGAGCACAATTTAACCAGAGTTACACCTTCTCCCGTTCACACAACAGAGCACAATGTAACCAGAGTTACACCTTCTCCCGTTCACACAACAGAGCACAATGTAACCAGAGATGCACCTTCTCCCGTTCACACAACAGAACAAAATGTAACCAGAGTTACACCTTCTCCCGTTCACACAACAGAGCACAATGTAACCAGAGATGCACCTTCTCCTGTTCACACAACAGCGCACAATGTAACGATAGCCAGCAGCTCTGGAAAACACAACAGTACAGTTACTACGACAGTTAGCTCATTCACACCATCTCCTAATCACACATCAGTGAATAATGTAACTACAGTTTCTAACTACTACATTACAACTGAGAATATAACCACGACTACTGTATCTCAAAACAAAACTGCCACTGACAGTGTAACCACTGCACCTATCAGGGAAACACAACAGAACACAACTGCTCCTTTTAAAAACACGACAATGTCTACAACATCCACTAAAAACTCAACTGTTGACAGTATGCCGTCTGTTGTTGACAACAGCACTAAACCCACAGTAGCTCCACTGAACAACCAGACTGTACATGACACCACAGTGAGAGTGACTGATAATATCACAACAACCAACAAAAATAACATCACCGCTGCCACTGGCATCAAGCTCAACGAAACTGCAGGAATCAGCTTCAACCTGAGCTCAACTGCAAGCAGTTCAACCGCTGATTTTGACTTAGCAACCAAAGGACCAGGAGTCAGTTTAACAACTACAGCTAACACTACCCTTGAATATAAAGCCACAACTTCTTCCACAACCCCTACAGCTACTACAACTATCCATGGCACACTTTTGCCCCAGATTAACACTACTACTGCAATGGTTTCCTCTAATTCTTCTACAACAACTCTCCAAACCACCACCCTTACCAGCACAACCACAACCATCCCTGGTACGTATAGTTAAGAATTCAACATTTAAATTTTGATTAAAGACACAAATATAGCTTTTTAATATGGTGAATCAAACTGGCTGGAATAGTTTGCTTTTTTGAATGCTTCTTAAAGTTTTAATGAATTGTGAAAGTGGCCAATTGTGCAGTCCATGGATAAAGTTATAAAAGCATAATAAATGTATTACTAGAATAGTTCCTTTATCCTCTTTGATAGAATGCTTGAATGCTTTAATAGGAGGATTTCTTGGTAACGGCCTTGACCAGTAAACTTTATGCTTCGCTATGGTGATTTATTTTATCAATATCACCATACATGAATCATTGATGCATGCAACTTGACGACTTGCTGTACTCCTCACCACGGTGCTGGAACTACCTCCCCAACCACCGCAGAGACAGCTAAAAGCCAAGATGCCCAGGAGGAAAAGGCAAACGAGCTGCTGAATCAAACACAGGATGCATCTCAGCTCAACTCTTTTCAGGTGAAGTTACTGATCTATTGAAGTATGCGCAGAAACACAATAACATGAATATCTGAACTAGTTTTACACATTTTGTCTAGAAATCTATGGATATTTCAAATAACTTGACGTCATTAATGACTGCTTGATAGATTTTTTATCATTTGGATGTGTTGCTGTCTGTAGCAACATATCTGTAGGAAATATTTCTATCTTCAGTTGACCTGGTCAAATGGAAATAATGGAAAATCTAAATGGAAATATTTTAAATGCAAGTTTTACTTTACCAAAAAGAATGTCAGTCAGATACTAGCATCAAAATATTAAAGGGATTTGTTTCCATTTAACGTTGTGTCAGCCAGTGTGTTGACTGTAGATGTTTTGAAAGTTAGATCAGTCAGTGAAAGTAAACTTTAGAGTTTGATGGGTGTTGCAGGTCGCACAGTTGGTGGGGGAGTTGGAGAAATTTCTGGAGGGCCCCACTGTCTCCCAGGCAGTGGGACAAAAGGTCATCAATGTAATCAGCAACCTGATGGGGGCTGACTCAGTGGCACTCTCTGCATCTGCTAACAGGTACAACTCACACAACCTTCACCCACACACATATTCAGGTACATCTGATGTTTCTAAAATGTTTTGTTTTGTTTCTTTCCTGTTGACAGGCTGATTCAAATGGTAGATGCTGTGGGTCTTAAGCTGGTTGTCACAGGTGACGGAGAGATCGTCTCTTCAGATTCACTTGTTCTGACAGTGAGGACGGTTGATGGGACCAACTTTCCAGCAACATCTGTCGACATTTTCAACACTGATAATGTCCAGGTAAGTCAGATCTGGTCTCACTGCATTTCACGAGACACAATGGGACTCATGCAAGAACCGCGTGTATGAGAAGATTTGATCTTATGTAGTCCAGACCTGTCAGACGAGTCATGTACAGGGCAAAAACGCACACTGACTTAAGAACTAAATCAAATTCCCTGAATCAGAATAAATTATGAGCTGAAAAATTAAACCAACATTAGGAAAATTCTCTCACTACACAATCTTCCTTAGGTTCTATCTAGTATCATCATGTGTTGCACTGAGTGTAGGCTACAATATTAAACCATCTAATATCTCTGTGACTGTCACATGACCGCCTCTCATATTAGTCATGGACGACACATTACCACACTATACTGCACACTGTACTGACACTGCTAAATTTGTTTACTGATTTCCAACAGCAACTGGTGTGACATTTTTCTTTTTTAGTATTTGGGAACATCTTTGTGAATATATATAAATGGCAATTTCCAGGGTGTAGATTACGCTACTCAGAATCTCAGCACAATCTCATGGAACAGGTGGTCCAATGTCTTTAAATGCACTGCCTGACCTTAAACACATAAGGAAAGCACAGCTGAAAACTACCAAAGAACCAGACTTTGTCATTAACCATTTGTTAAACGTTTGTTTGTCTAGCTCCAGACCTTCAGCAGATCCCGGTCCAAGAGGATGCCGTCTGCTCTTGGGTCTGTATTCATGCCCTCCTCCCTCACCTCGGGTCTCAGTCCTGAGCAGCAGCAGCAGGCCAGCAGGATCCAGTTCACTTTCTACACCAAATCTATCCTCTTCCAGGTACTCCTGGATTTGTCTTCTGTCATCTATCTACAGATTCTTTCACAGAGCATTGAAGTATTTATCGGTGCATATTTAATGATTTATAAGCAGCAACTTTTTACTTATCAAGTCCAGCATTTGTTTTTATTTTTAAGCCAGGTATGGTTCAATAGAAAAAAAGAAACAGCTGTAACATGTTGGACAAAAGATTATATAATAAAATATTTTCATCAGAGCAATTACTGTGATTAAATGAAATGCTAATTAAATATTACCTTACTTCAAGAGGAGTCCATCTCTCTCTCTCTCTTTTTTTTTTTTTCGCAGGATGCAACATTAGATAACCAAACCCTTGTAAGTCCAGTCCTGAGCTCTAGTGTGGCCAATCTGTCAATAAGCAACCTGTCTGAGAACATTCAGTTTACCATCCAAAACATTAAACCCATAAATGTAAGTGAACATGCATGATAAAATCATTATTTTTCTCATGAACCCATTCATCTAGATAAAGAATCCCACATAACTAAGATACTACAAGTAATTGCCAATTTTATTTAAGCCTTTTATTATTTACCATTTATTAAAAGGATGCAAATTTCACTGTCTTCATGGCCTCCAGAAATTATTAATTCATAACAATGTATAATAACAATACGACCACAATTGTAATACCAAATTTTGTCATTTATAAACATAATAGAAATTTTTTTAGTATTTTTCAAAATAGAAAGGTCACTTGTAAATTACTGTAAATTTCCTTATATAAATGGTTTAAAATCTTTGCTAAACGACCACTCAAAGTTCCTCTGTGATGCTTTTCTTCTCCTAAATTGTTCTTGGTTTGCAGGCAAACTACGTGGCCTCCTGTGCATTCTGGGACTTCACTCAGAACGGTGAATTCATGCATGCCAAATCAAGTTAGTTGGGAGCCAACTCCACAGGTATTAATATTCCTGATTGCTGTATTTCTCTTGTTCAGGTGGTGGAGGAGGTTGGAGCTCTGCCGGCTGCTTTGTTGTCAACGTCACAGCGGAAGACACAACCTGCAGCTGCAACCATCTCACATCTTTTGCAATATTGCTGGTTCGTGTACGTTTGTTTGAATGTGTGTGATACAGTTTATTGACAATAATAGTATCAATAAAGTGCTTCAAACCTCAGTTACAACATGTATATAGGGAATTAAATGAACAACTAAATTACAGGTTGAAAGGGCAACAGAAATGATGTGACTTCCTTTTTCTACATGGTTAAAGTGAGAAATTGTTCAATGTGCATTCACTGTATATTTGTGTGTGTACCCTGTCCTAAATACAGGATTTGTCCAGAGAGGGAATAACTGACCGCCAGCAGGCACAAATTCTTACTTTCATCACCTACATCGGCTGTGGGATCTCTGCTGTTTTTCTTGCTGTCACTCTACTGACATATATTTTATTTCAGTAAGAATCTATGTCTTTACAAAGCCAAGACTCCTTCAATCTGAGCTTTATTCAAGAAACCTCGTAACCACGGTAATTAAGCTCTTATTGTAAAAAACTCTTTAAATGCAGAAAACTGCTCCGGGATATCCCTGCCAAGATTCTGGTTCAGCTCTGCATGTCCCTTCTTCTCCTCAACCTGGTCTTCTTGCTGGATGGCTGGCTGGCGCTGTACCCAGCGATCGGGCTGTGCATTAGCACTGCCTTTTTCCTGCACTACTTCCTGCTGACATCATTCACCTGGGCGGGGCTTGAAGCCCTGCACATGTACCTGAGCGTCATCCAGGTGTTCACTCCCTACCTCAGCAGATACATGCTCAAGTTCTCACTGATGGGCTGGGGTGAGTAACTGCTTCAAACTAATTTGTTTTGTCAACCAATGCCTTACAAAACTTTTTCTTGATTTTTAATTTCTATAAATTTTTAAAAAACAACTTTAGAAGTGTATTAATTTAAACACCTATTTCTTCTCAAACCACTTTTTATTGGATATAATGAGATGATTCTGCTGATTAACATCCTGGTCTTTGCAGGGATTCCTCTTATAGTGGTGATCATTGTAATATCAGTGGACAAAGACAACTACGGCCTGGTCACGTATGGAAAATACACAGACGGCACTTCAGATGACTTGCAAGTTATGCTTAAATTTTAATAACCTTTTGTAAACACAGCATTTGAGTTTTGTTAGATTTGAGTTAGATTTTTTTTCAACCAGCCATAACAGAGCAATCACTAAAATACTTTTCCAGTAGCCTGGATGTGTGTTAATAAGTTTGTTTTTAACGTGTCTGCAATTATATTAGATTGGTCTTCTTTTATTTTGGTCAAAGGGTAGAGAATTGGCCAACATAGGCCATACATCTAATAAATGTATCCAGTACTTCAGGAAAAAATCCTTTTAATTAAGAAGAAATAAAAAAATAAGGTTTGTCATCATAAAATTAAGATTTAAAAAAAAATATTTTCACAGGAATACTGACATTGAAAGAATAAATCTAAAACCTTTTTCCCCCTCATTATCCCTATCATTAATGTATTTGTCCACTGGAGGGCGAGAGAGATAAAAAACTACTGTGCACTACTGGCTTAGTGGCACACCTAAATATAACAGAATCTTCATGGCCTTTGACTTAAGTGTACAGTTAAAATATCCACTGTTCATTCATCTTTAAACACATATATCTCATGCAAAATAAATGCAAATCAGATGTTGCAACTGCTTAGCAACCACCTTGAAATGCCTTACAAACCACATTGAACACCCAAACAACTGGTGACACCCGGCTAACCTACCTGAACACCAAGTAAAGTAGCTTTCAACACCCTAGTAGGCACGCACCCAGACGATAGCGAGCAGGCATTACTTTTCTTTTGAAGATTTTGTTGTTAAATACAGTCTGAACCTTTCTGTCTTTATCTATTCCCCTGTAGCTGTTGGCTGCGTAGTAACGTCGCCTTTTACGTGGGTGTGGTGGCCTACTTCATCCTGATTTTCGCTCTGTGCCTGCTGGTCTTCATCATGGTTATGGTCCAGCTGGCCCGGATCAAGAAGCAGAACCCCCAGAACCAGTCCCCTAACAGGGGAGTAATGACAGACATGCGCAGCATCGCTGGCCTCGTCATCCTGCTCGGCCTCACCTGGGGTTTCGCCCTGTTCGCCTGGGGACCCCTCTACTTACCCTTTGTTTACCTTTTCACTTTATTCAACACTCTGCAAGGTCAGACGTAAAATATATTGGGGTCTACTCCCATACAGAAGAAAACTTGACACTTTTCTGATAAAACTGACACAAGCTAATTTCTTTACTGTTTGTCCTGTCTAGGTTTCCTTGTCTTTGTTTTCCACTGTGCTGTGAAGGAGAATGTCCGCAGACAGTGGAGAACTTATCTTTGCTGTGGAAGACTGCGATTGGCTGAAAACTCAGGTGGGCATCTAAATGTGTTCTTATATCCTCTGATAATGTAATTGGGCAGATTAGGAAGGGACATGAGACAAGATACTGAATGAGGTAAGTTAGTGTCTGGTGATTTGGCCGCTTATCACCAGCTGTGACACACAGCTCATGGCAAAAATTAAGGTATTACCCAAATTTGTGTCAATGCCTTTTTAGAGTCATAACTTTGATCTACCCTGTTATTTCTGATGATCATATTGCTTCCATAAATAAATATTTGAAATCAGAACAAAGACACTCCTTGTAACTACAGAACTTGCCTGAAAATCTGGAGTTTTCTTTAATATCAAAGTTATCCATGGTTGTCTGTACAATAATAGGTACGTTGCAAACAAGAACTGCTAAATTGAGATACAGCATGTCTTTTAATGGTCTCAATTTTCCAAAATGTAAACTAATATAGGCTAAAATAAACAAGGCTGAAGTTGGAGCCCACAGCTCATCCTTAGAAATGTTGTTCCAGAACTGAGAGAATGATTATCTCCCAAACTGAAGTGAGAAAAAATATCAATATTAATGGATATTAATATACATGTTCTTATCTTCCCATTGTCATTTGTGAGATAAATCTGGCAAATAATGAGAACATATATTTTAATTAACTGTTGTCCACTTTTTGCAGAATGGAGTCGGACGGCAACACAGAACAACAAGAATCCATCGGGTACCACGGCAGCCACTGCAGATTTCCTCTTTACCACTCGAAGCTCCTCTGTCATCAGTGATCGCACCAACAGCGGTACATTCACACGTCGCGGTTTGCAATGTCTGACCTGTATTTTTATACAATCTTACACTACATATAATTAGACTATTATTGCGTTCATCTCCCAAAGGCTCTGTGTTTGGGGACAGTGGAATATTTGAAGGCTCCAACAGCGACGTCGTCCTCAACGAGATTCACAGAAGAAATCTGTCACTGCAAGGAGAGGCCTGACAACCATGTCAAGCGGTAATTTGTGATTACAATAATTATATGCTCTGAGAGAGCCGAGAGGGCGGTCAGAGATTGGTGATCTCCTGCAGCTCCAGTAAACGAAAAAAGAGACTAGAGATGACAAGATGAGATGCTCGTAGGAAATCCTCAGTGTTAGACAAGATGAAGGTTTAAAAGGTGTAATGAAGGACCAAGGAGAAGTTTGACTGAAGTACCTGAGATCAGTATGATTATGATCATTGCTTGAATGCAACAAGTTGAAAGTGTGACTTGTTACCTTTTCTACACCATAGTAGAATAAATGAACACAGAAATAATGTAAGAGACTTGTTAGCAGTAGGAAGTGTAGGTATGTTCCTGACTGAAAAATGTAATAGTTTCACTGTAACAGCTGTGACAGCATAGCTTGTTTCAAAGCTCGTAGAAGTAGTGCTGTAAACAGTGACGGTAACCTGTATGACAGGGTTTGGTATGTTAAAGATACAAAATTCATTTAATCAGTAGCCTAGAACACTGTATAGATTGTTGTGAGGCTATTTTGCTGTCTTATGAAATATTCCTTTTGTTCCCAAACATAAAAAATTAAGATGTTTCCATTGTGTTTACAATACTCCACTGGCCTTCCCTTTCTATTTTCAGTAAAGAGTTCACATCCCTCTTTTGGGGGGTGTCAAAGGCATTCTGGGATGGAATTTGTTTCAAGCATAAAAAACATGTGGCATGTAAGTGTGGTCAAGCAGCGTACTGGTACGTCTAAAGCGGAGACAATAAAACCTCAACTCATTACCTGTCTTTTTTGAGTCAGAGAGTTTGACGTCTATATGGAATCTTTTAACAAACGTGTTCAACAGAAAAAGCCACCAATTATGATCCTAGCAGACTCCCCTCTTATCACAGTGTTGTGTAACCTTCAGCAGAGCGTCCTACACCCGCTTTTCCCACAGTTCAATCACAGCCTGTGAAGGTCGGCCCCAGAGATTGGCAGCAGTTAGCTATTAAAAGTTTTACATGGTTTCAAATGTCGGAACAGTGTGACCTTAACGTGAACCGAATGAGACAGCAAGCTGTGTGAATGATGGTAGAGACACAGATGTTACAGTGATGAGCACAAACTGCATAAATTCATTTTAATTCTGAATCTATTGCCAGGTCATGCAGATGAGAAAAATTCTGTAGCCATTTGAATTCTTGAAATAATAATCAGTGTCTACTTTTACAGCTCAAAAAATACACTGCACATCGTTCTATTGGCTTGATATGTCTTAACTCTGGTTTTATGAGAATTGCTTATGAACGTGATTTTGAACTGATAACTGATAACTAAAAGTTACAGAAAATGACATTACTTCTGCCCAGATGTAGCCTACATTTTACACAGCACTACCCCTCAATTATCCATAATAAGTCAAATCTCTTAATGGAATTTGATGTTATCTATGTTTCGGTCTCACGGGTTTGACCTGTAAAATAAGTATTTGACTGTGTAGGACTACATACTGTAAATTTCTTTTGCTGATTTGTTCTCACATTGCCAATGTAGTATTTACTGGAAACGTTTCCTTGTTTAGTATAATACAAATGCATAATGGATATTTATTTATTTTGTTATGTCCATGCAATGTGCAAGTTAAGTTTGTAGCAAAACAAAAGGTTTAACCACTTCAATACTTCTGCATATTGGTTTTTCATAAGAAGAAAAAAATGTGGGTCCCCAAACAGTTTTTTGTATAAATTTTATGTACATTAATTCCTCCAGGAACAATGTACTTAATTCAAATAATCAAAGCTGATAACTGGTGAATTTATAATTTTAAAGGATATTTTCTATATTCGTTTATTGCATCTATAATATTTTGTAGTGTGAGGCCTTTGTCTGGCATTTGGGTTTATTGCTGTATGAATGATCAAAAAAAGGAAAATTACTTAGACCCAGTGTCTGGTACAGGCCATCGTTATGTTTTGTCTCAACTACTGCAATGCCCTATAAATTGTTCAGAATGCAGCAGTGAGTCTCGTGTCATTCCATTACTCAGCAACCTCTACTGACTCCCCGTGGCCTCCTGAATCAAATTAAAATCACTAATGCTTGTATACAGAGGGACTACTGGTTCCGCAACCATCTACCTAAACTCAATAATACAAGCCTACGTTCCTTCCCGGCCACTGTGCTCCACCATCCCTACACACAAAGCAATCTCAGTCCCGGCTGTTCTCATCTGTGACACCATGATGGTGGAACGAGCTACGACATGCCATCAGAGCAGGGACGTCCCTCTCTAACTTCAAGAAGCTCTTGAAAACTCATCTACTCAGAGAACACTTCCTCTTATAACACTTCTAACCCCTAACCTCTAACATGGACTTCTGCTATCTCCTTACAGTTCTCTTGTATTGATTACAATAATTGTTAACACTTACCTCTTCCCCTTAGGTATTTATCCCATAGAAGTCGTATGCGCTAATTGCTCTTACAAGTATTTATTGCTCGTAGATCTCTTATTTTACTGATGCTTGTGTGGTGTTCCTCTAATCTGGCAAATGAGTAAATGTAATGTAAATGAAAATGACTGTGGAAGTACAACAAAACACGGGGTTTAAATGGGTCAGAATAACAGGCATCTAATACAACTTGTCTTGTATGAAATATTACATTATTGACAGGATAATTTAGCTTAAATATTGTATATTGCACGCTCAAACATCTTCCACCAGATGTCAGTGTAAACCCACACCTTTTTTAATCCCATCACAGCAACTCTTCACCATAAAGAGAAAGGTTGCCCTGTAAAACATTGTTCTTCTAGCCACTGAGCAGCTTAATTGCAGCAAATTCATGTTACTGACAAGAAAAACATCCCACTTAGAATTGCACTAACTTTGTGGTTACTGTCACCTCAAATAAAACAATACTGTCACTAAAACAAAACAAATGCAGCTGGGACAAGCAAAAACTACCCAAAACTACTGATGTACATAATCCTTCAATCCCGATTTCCTTGTATATTATTCATATGTGCATGGGAATTTTGTCTGGATTTTGTGATCCTGTCAGATTTAGCATCACAGTTCATTGACAAGCATCATGATGCAGAATAAACGTGGCTGTCTGGTTCCCTTGACTAATATGCCTGCAGATTTAACTTACTAATCACTAATCAGCCAAGGGGAAAGCTTTTTTTCTTGTCAGTTTAAATTAAATTTGAAGGTTAACTTTTAGTGCAGCTGTGCAAGTGTGGCCAACATGCCTTTACAGCCTCACTAATGATGGAAGGCTGAAAGAGAACACACAAGACGCACCAAAAATCGATGAACATTTCATTTCTAGATAGATGTTTTACAATTCATCACAGGGCCTGGGAAAACATACCCCCACCACTCCTTCCCATCGGCTCAGGTCTTTCTCTCCCTGAAGGTTGCTTAACACCACAGCAGCATTTTCATGCAAGTCACACCAGCAGTCTTTCATTTTGTTTGAAGAAAATTGTATATAAAATGCTGCCAGATATCACAGATTTGAAGAATCTGATATGTTTTTCTGCCCCCCCCCCCACACACCATGCACTTGATTTATTTATGTAGTTTTAAAGTGTAAGAGCACAGACAACCTGCTTACAGTTGAAGTGTATTGATCATTGGCACAAGAGCAGCTGTTTGTTGTTGAGCTCTGGCTTCTTCTGATTTCCCAGCTGGTCTGAAGATTCACTCCTCACAAAACGTAACACTACAACCTAGTCTACCACAGCTGTTTATGTCATGTCCGTCAAATAAATATCCTAAAGCGATTCCCAGTGATACAGTAGGAAATAAAGACATTCTTGCATGTGGTTTACCTAAAATATGCACTTAAAGTGCATTATGGGATAGATTGTAACTTCAGATGTGGGAAAGTGTGCTATCGGTTCTGTTTTCCAGCAATTCATCTATAAAATTTATGGCTTTTAGCCAAACTGACTAATTCTGACATACTGCAGCATGCAGTCCTCAGATTGCAAAATATCTCAGCTTATATCACACAACTCACTTGACACACTGAGGTATATTTATTTCCAAATAAAATGTCCAAAAGGCACATTTCAACTCAATTTTCACACAGATTATCTTATTATTAATAATTGCAAAAGGGATGTGACGTTCTCATTAAGAGAGTGCTGAAGTGATTTAACATGCACTTCTATCATACTGTAGTTCTTGCAATGGACAGTTTAAATAAAGGATCAAAATCAGTGCAGCAGAACTATATGCCTAGACGCCTAGAAGTCTTGGACAGACAACGTGCATGTTTTTAGTAGTATTGAAAATAAGGACCACACCAGCCTCTAACTAGTGACAGGTACATTTGCATGCTGTGCTGCTGCTGCACAGCTAATTAGCATAGCTATGTAGCCTGCAAACAGACGTTAGCGGTGCTCTTTCCCTGGTGAATGTTTGGTCGCTCTTTCAACAAGCTAAGTTGCAGTGCAAGAAGTGTGTTTATGTTTGTAAGTTAGATAAGAAGGAAACTTTAGCAGGAAAGGTAAAGTTGGTGGTTATTCAGAGTCTGTGGCCTTTGTGTTGTGAACACATTAGCTTCAGCAGTATAATAGCTAGCTTAGCTAGCAGTAAACTCCGCCCACACAGTATGTGGATTGAAAATGCATTCGCATTTAGACTTGGGTTCAATGTGGTCACAATGCATCTGTGAGGTGGTTTGGCCAATCAGATCACAATCTGTCCTCAGTGTGTGAGTGCATTTGCATTTGTGTACTTTCATGTGCTCTAGCACTATCCAATTGCAATCCGATCACCCAAACGCATTTTAATGTTAGGTGTAAACAGCCTCTTAGATTTAACTGTAAACAAGGTTTTACTTCACAACTGATCAGACATTTTCAGCTGTCGCCATCTCCCAGATATTCCTAGAATGCATTGAAAATGGCTGGTAGCAATTTGTCCACTTCACATTCCTCTCTCCATTTTTTCTCTCCATGCAACTGTTTGTTTCTTTTTTCATTTCTCTACTTCCTCATTACAGCCATGCGTAACGTCAATTTCTGACACTTTGCATAGCCTGGTTTATTTGCTCCAAACAGTGGCGCAAGTACAGACAGTGCAATGCACCAGGCCCACGAGGGACAGCGTCAGTTGCCATGTAGATCATGATCAGATGCCGTCATCCATTCATTCATACTGTGTAGGTATAATGAGTTGCTGTACCTTTCTTGATTTCTATTTGTTCTGTGGTTATTAACATGCTGTGTCAGCTACTTTTAGT